AATAACTATTTTTATGCCATGCTGGAGGACTGGAAGGGTCAACTTCATAGTGATTGATCTGGAGGCTAGATACTTCAGCCAGCCTCATACACAACATCATCATTATATCTGCAAGATCCTGTAATGAGGGATCATTAGTAGTATCGATATTCTGAATCCTTTTAAGTTCCTTTTCTAAGGAGAAATATGGTAGAATTTTTAACTGATTATTGGCTACATCTCGCTCAGTCTGTTCTTTTTGAATTTTGTTAGAAGCTGTAGTAATATTCAAGTCTTTGGCATAAGTATCAATTAGTTCATGAGCAACACCAACTTTCAGCAATTCATTACGAAATAGTGAGAGCCATGAACAACCGGTGACAATTTTTTTATCGTCATTACTTTTTGGACCTATGTCACGAGAATGAATGAAAATGTCCTACTTATCACTAGTCTTAGCACAATATTTTGCTCTTTCCTCTATGGTGAGTTTTTCTTTTCTCTTATCTGGTACGAGAGCCTCTATCTGCTCTTTGCTAAATACGCGTCTTTTATCAATACGTCTGGCAAGGAGATCTTTAACACACTTGTGGGCCTTCCAATCATGCAATTAAACATTAAGTTCTAGAGCATGTTCTCTTAATTGTTCTGGAGTGGAGTCGGCCGTCAAATTATGCTTTTCTAGGAACTGCTCTAAAACCAATACAAAGTTATTAGTTTTGGGCTTTCGGGTCTTTGGAGTGGTTGCTTTAGTAGACATGACAACGATAAGTAGATTGCAATTATTACCTAGTTATACTAATTTACTTATTTTTCAATTCGAAAAAAATAATTAATAATTTGGGATTTTATTTTGCCTAATTGTAAAGAACCCTCTTATCCAAATACCTCACTTGTAAACTAGCTTCTTATTACTTTTTACCAAAGCATACCATTCTCCTGAAGTATGCTTTTATTTTTTTGCCATTCTCTATCAGTATCGAGCCATAAGGATGTGATTCCTTTTTCTTTAAGTTCATATCGGATAATCTCTTCTCCTGTTAATCTTTCTCGTACTGTCATTTCCATATTTTCATTTGGATCTTCTTTGCTCTCTTTTGCATAACCGCATATTCGTGTATCCATTTCTATTTTATAACAAAATACGGTGGAATCGAGTCTGTCTTTTTCTGTGATGGTCACAAACTTATCAGGGTCTTCACCGAGTTCGATTGCCCTTTTTCTGAGGTGCTCTTCGCGCCGGGCTCTGGTCAAAAGTATAGCAGATGATATTTCATTGATAGGCTTGGAAGAATCAGTTTCTTTAGAAGGCGTATCAGGTGCTACTCCACTTATAAGCTCAATAGATTTGGGAAGCTTGCTAGTTTCGAGCTAGTCCTTTTGAGACCGCTCAATGATTTTTGGCTCAGATAGGTTGGATGTCTTAGAAGTTTCGGAAGTTCCAGATGTTGAAGCTACTGGTGCTTTGGCTTCTTCTTCCACATAGTCAAATAGAGCTTGGGTTAGATTTTTCTGTTTATATCCTTTCTTATTACTAGATGAAAAAATCTTTTCTGGTCAAAACAGAGCTGTTTTTGAAGAAGCATTTTCTGGCACATTAAATATTGGTATATCTGTTGTCTCATTTTCGGGTATATCAGATTGAGATATGTCAGAGAATTCTTCGATATCGTCTAGGCCAGACTCACGAAGCTTAACTATGATTTTAGGGCGGTTGAGAATATATTGCCATTCTCTTTTTCCATTACCTACTCGCCCCTGTTTACACTCAATAATATTTTTTTCTGATAGCTTCTTACTGAAAATATTGTTAAATAATGGCTTTTCACCATTATCCCCACACCATTCAAGATATTTTTGATATTTTTTTTGT